CAAAAATATTCAATAGTAATGCATTTTATAAAATAATCATGATTTTTCAAATAATAAATTTGAAAGTTTTCACTAATTTTAGAATGGCCATTTTGAAATTAAGCGTAATGTTTTTTTATATAAGACGAGTAAAACCGGCAGAAAAATGAAGAGAAAAATGGCCGGAAGCTTTTCAAAACCGGTGTAAACTTCCGAAACTGGTGGAAGGTTCCAAAAACTGAAAAGTCGGTAAGCTTGATGAGCCAGCCCGTTACAAGGGAAGCGAGATTTGCTGCGCAGTCTATATTTGCTGCGACGAGGCGCAGGCAAAGGTGGGAAACGATCTGCCAAACTACATTGCATGACACATGAATCTCAATGCATTTGATCGAATGGCCCAGGTCAGGGGCAAAACTATTTTTATACGAAGCACATCCCATGACGATGGACAGCGATACAGAAATACATCAGCCATCACGGCATCAAGCCTCACACAATCTCAATGCTAGTGATCGAATGGCCATGAACTTGACCGGCACTCTGCTAAATCTCAGCTGACTGACTGAGGTGTAGCAGAACAGTCTTTTTTATTACCACACACGACACCGATGATTCAGACAGTTGGCCTGCAACCGTTGGAAAACTATGTTGACAGCTGGACCTTCCTTTGTTCTTACGGTACTATTCCCTCGGTCCCATAATATAATAACGTTTTTAACACTGGCATAATGGCGAAAACGTTCCTATATTCTATATTCTAGGACAGAGGGAGTACCTACCTATCGCCGACCAGCAAGGGGGGTCGACTGGTTGCGGAATATCCTGCCAAAAAGACACATTTGTGCCTTAGTTACCTTCGCTCCTGCCATGTCGAGGTGCGTTCCCCAGCGCTAGCCTCCAAGTAAATTTCACGAGAGAGACAAAATAAGCACACGCCTCGCTTCCCGCCATTTTCTAGATGGGAACGGCTGCTTGTTTATTTTTCGTCTTTGTCAAGGGTATTATTCTGTCGTGTATGTTTGTCCCGGTGTATTAAACTTGTAAAAGTATGTCCGTGTGTGTTCAAACGATGAGGAATGTATGATCCGATTAGTATGCGGAATATGCTGCCAGCCAACCAGCACGAGGCAGACGGAGGCTACGAGCGATGAGGACAGTTTTCCCTTGTTGCCGCCGTCCTCTCCTTCATCGTCATTATCTCCGGCCGGAGCACAGTTATAAGAACCATGGCGAGCAAGCAGCAAAGCACCAAATTAACACGGGAGTTGGGTCGAGAGTTGAGACACAGTCTCATAAAAGCGCCCTTTGTCGGAAAAAAAAAGTTGGGACCGAGATGGCGGAGAATGGGGCGGGCGGCGGAGGGGGGCAGAACCTCGCGGTGCTCGACGCTCTGGACTCGGCACGCACCCAGATGTACCACATGAAGGCCATCGTCATCGCGGGCATGGGCTTCTTCACCGACGCCTACGACCTCTTCTGCATCACCACCGTCTCCAAGCTGCTCGGCCGCCTCTACTACCCGGACAGCAACGCCGACATCGGCAAACCCGGCACCATGCCCGTGCGCATCAACAACATGGTCACGGGGGTCGCGCTCGTCGGCACCCTCATGGGCCAGCTCGTCTTCGGCTACTTCGGGGACAAGCTCGGCCGCAAGCGCGTCTACGGGATCACGCTCGTCCTCATGGCCGTGTGCGCCATCGGCTCCGGCCTCTCCTTCGGGAGCTCTGCCAGCGCCGTCATCGGCACGCTCTGCTTCTTCCGCTTCTGGCTCGGCTTCGGCATCGGCGGGGACTACCCGCTGTCCGCCACAATCATGTCCGAGTACGCCAACAAGAAGACCCGCGGCGCCTTCATCGCCGCCGTCTTCGCCATGCAGGGCGTCGGCATCATCTTCGCGGGCCTCGTGTCCATGATCGTCTCCGCCATTTTCCTCCACTACAACCCTGCACCGGCGTGGGATGCGCACCATGGCCTGACGGTTGATGGTCAAATGGACCAGTGGCCCGGGGCGGACTACATGTGGCGCGTCGTGCTCATGCTCGGGGCGTTCCCCGCGGTGGCCACCTTCTACTGGCGGATGAAGATGCCCGAGACCGCCAGGTACACCGCTCTCATCGAGGGTAACGCCAAGCAGGCTACCAACGACATGCAGAAAGTGCTGGAGATCCGCATCGACGAGGAGCAGGAGAAGCTCTCCAAGTTTAGGGCGGCCAACGAATACTCTCTGCTGTCCATGGAGTTTGCGCGGCGTCACGGCTTGCACCTCATCGGCACCACCACCACGTGGTTCCTCCTCGACATCGCCTTCTACAGCCAGAACCTGACACAAAAGGACATCTTCCCAGCCATCAACCTCACCGGCACCGCGGGCTCCATGAACGCGCTCAAAGAGGTGTTCGTGATATCACGAGCCATGTTCCTCATCGCCCTCTTCGGCACTTTCCCCGGTTACTGGGTCACCGTGGCACTCATCGACAAGATGGGAAGGTATGTACTCCCTCCGGTCCTTTTAAGTCAGCATATAAGTTTTGTTCGAAGTCAACGTATCTCTACATTCATCGAACTTATAGAAAAAAGTATCAATATTCACAAAGCCAAATCAATATAGTTACATTCATTTTGAAATTTAGTTCCATAGTGTATATATTTGATATTATAGATGTTCATAGTTTTTAAATATAAATTTGATCAAACTTTGCAAAGTTTGACTGGACAAAATCCTAATATGCGGAGTAAAAAAGGCCGGAGGGAGTACGTACCTATATGCATGCATGGCTCATGCGCGATCGACTTGGTTAGTTTCGTTACACCTACACATTAATTTGAGCATCCATGAATTGAATGCAGGTACTTGATCCAGCTCCTTGGTTTCTTCATGATGTCCCTGTTCATGCTAGTGATGGGCATCAAATACGAATACCTCAAGGACAAGGGCCACGCCCTGTTCGCCATCCTCTACGCGCTCACATTCTTCTTCGCAAACTTCGGCCCCAACAGCACCACCTTCGTGCTGCCGGCCGAGCTATTCCCCACGCGTGTCCGCTCTACATGCCACGCCATCAGCGCCGCGTCAGGCAAGGCAGGCGCCATCGTTGCCGCCTTCGGGGTGCAGACCCTCACCCTCAAGGGCGACCCCAAGCACATGAAGCAGGCGCTCATCCTTCTCTCTGTCACCAACATGTTCGGCTTCTTCTTCACCTTCCTCGTCCCTGAGACGATGGGCCGATCGCTCGAAGAGATCTCCGGCGAGGACGGCAACGTTGCCGGCGCCGCCACTGGGCATGTGGACAAGGACGTCGAAAAGGCCCCTCCTTCAAGCACCGAATGGCAGCCACCATCGTCCATGAATTAAGTAATGCATGAGAACACGCACACATGCACACACGCAAGCGTAATAATATCATCTTATCTTCTGCTATATATATATATATATATATATATATATACATATCAGCTAGCGAATTGGAAAGGGGACAAGAATAATAATAACGGCAACCAGCTGCATGCTACTTAAGTTGCCAGGTGGCACTTGGTTTGAGAGTTTGTTGTTTTATCTACACGTGTAATATTATTGCACTAGGATTGCTTGTGTTGTGTGTGATACCATCCATTGTGTTGTTAAGGTTATATTGAATTTCAGTGTGGATGTATGAGCATTGCTACTTTATAATCATGTCAAGTTTACAGAATTAAATAACCATGTCAAATATGTGCTGTTTTTGTTTGCGGGATAGACATAAATAGTATGCATCTCAATAAGGTAACGAACGGGTATTTTTCTCATTACCAAATCTCCAACCGAACCGCTAGAAAGAACAAACTACATAGATCATATAATCCTGCTTTTTGGAAGGAACAATTAAGCTGGTAAACATTCGTTTTAAATCGAGTGGGTTTAGACTCCCTCTGACAGCGTGTTTGGTTCAGTGGAATTGAAGAGAGGGAATGGGAGTTTGAGGCATAGAGAGTTTTATTCCTTTGTTTGTTTGGGTGGAATGAGAATTCAATAGGGAGATGGAAGGGGAATTCACGTGTAGAAGTTCCACATATCTATTACCTAGGGGAGGGCTGGTAATTGAGATGGGGAAAGGGAATTAGAGTTAAACTCTCATTCCCCTTCCGGTTAGTTTGCCAAACAGACTATGATGGCTACTGGTCGAACTATACAAACCAAGTAGAAGAGCAGGACTGCAGGAACACGACAGAGTAGCAGAAGCATCGAGGTGGCAACCCACGTTACTCCTGCAAGACAAGGTAACACAATAGCATCATCCTCATCAAGCCTCCTCGTTTGTGAGCGACTATGACTGTGACAGGCGAGGGTTACGGAAGGAGACAAGGTGCTAGTGTGGCCGGCTCTCGATCTTGGTAGGCTGATCTCCCGGAACATGAACGCCTATAACGCCTTGAAGGACACTGTCATATGTGCCCTCTCGTTCTTGAATTACCGTTCCACGCACGCGATCATGGGCTCCGGTGCCAGCTAGCATCACTAGGAAACCAAACCCCATCTCGAGAAATTAATGGCCACGTGTGATTACAAAGGATAAGAAAAAAAAAGAATAAGACAGTATGCAATAGGGGAAGTGAGCCCGCAAAATGGTGGGCGACCTCCATGGAGGTGGTTATTTTGAAAAGTCAAAAATCATATTTTGAGGTTCCAAAAAATTCTGAAAAAAAGGCATACATGTTCATGAGACTGCACCCTATATATAGGTTCTCAAAAGAAAAAAAAAGAGACTGCACCCTATAGAGAAAACAACATAGACGGGACAAAATAGCTCATTCATATAAATGGATGCAATCATGCGTAGATACTCAAAAGAATGAGCCGAGTCACATACAAAGTAGATTAACATATACTAACATGCAAATAATAATTACAGAGTACTAATACTCATCACACGTGCATGGAACTATAAATGAATACAGGGAATACAACACCACTTATTCTAAAAATAACACACTGTGGCTTCATACGGGGTCTCATCCAGCAACTGGCATATATCAGTATCCCATCAACTGTGAGTGGTCGGTGGTTTGCACTTTGAAGGCGGCTTCGGTTTCGGTTCAGGTTTAGGCTTGGCCTCCGACTTTGGTTCAGGTTTCGGCATGGGCTCGGGCTTAGGCTTTGGCTTTGGTTTGGAGCAGGGCTTGGGCTTGGGCTTTGGCTTCAGTTTTGGCATCGGCTCGGGCTTTGGTCCAAGTTCTGGCTTGGGTCCAGGCTTTGGTTTGGGTTTGGGCATCGGTTCAGGTTTGCAAGGCTCCGGCTCTGAGTGTGGCATAGGTTTTGGCATTGGCTCTGGTTTGGGTTCTGGCTTTGGCTTTGGCTCCGCAAACTTCTTGACGGCAGCAAGGCCTCGGCCAGCAGCGGATGCTTGGTGGAAAGTGGATGCTACCACTACCCCGACGAGGAGCACGGCGAGGAGGCCATGCCTCGCCATTGCTGCCTATTTCTTGTGCTTGTAGCTAGTGTTGCACCTGATGTGCTTTGTGTGTGTTGTGTGGAGAACTGGAGATACATATTGTGTGGTTTTATAGGGTGGGCGAAACAAAGCAGATCTGGAGGCTGCATCAATTAACATTGCAGCTAGCTAGCTGGAGTGACAAGTATTGTGTAACATGGCAATGAAGTTATATTGGTTAATTACAAATGAAGGAACCAATGTGTGTACCTACAGGGTGTTAATAAGCACAGCTGGACTTTGCGTGTGTGTCTCCATGCGATGATAGCAGAAGGGTAACAATATTTTAACTCTGTTAGTTGTCCCCCGAAAGCAGAAAATTATGTTAGTTGCGCTGTCCACTGCTCACACATCTATGTGATCAGCCATCATCTAGAAACCACGAGCGACTGTGTACACGTTAGTGCAATACTTCCGTTCAATTCACAATGGAAAAGAAAGCCCGGTTGATGCTAAGATGTGATGGCCATTTACTATTTTGATTGCAGCAAAGGCTACATGCGGTGGCTCACCATTCTGTCAAGATATGGGAATATGAGACAAGCCTTATATTATTTTGTCCAGAAGAAATTTTGAACCGCACCTTCTAAACCCAGACGAAGGGGGTAGAAGAGTGGCGTTTTGGACGAAAATTCTAAACTCACAGAGCTTTACGGGGCTTCTTCCAGAACTAATCCTCACCCTCCTGATTTTCAGGGGGTGTGGGCCCCTAACCCTGGTTTCTATCCAATTAAACTATCCCAACTAAGCCATTCTGTAAATCCCGTATTAATCCGTCCGTGCGTGCGGTTGTGCAGCCTAACAACCCGAGTTCAATTTATAGAATTGACAGGTGATGTACAGGGGTTTTCCTCCATTTATTGAGAATCAAGTTTGGTGTGTGGTGGAACCACTCATCAAAAAATATCTTCATACTCATTTAAAAAAATTTGAGGACCATGTTTAACTTGGTACTCATACTAAAACGGTTGTATGCATCCCTAGTTGGTGCAGAGGTCGGGGAAGTGAAATTCTCCTTCATTTTTAGGCACACATCATTAAATCATTATTCCCTTCACTTCCCCTCCCCCTCGCGTCGCCTCCCCCTGGGCGACGCCAGGGGACCCGACTTAGCGCGGCCCGCACCCTCTAGCGCCTCCTCCAGCCGTCGATGTCGTCGGCGTGGGCTGCAGTGGCGGCGGGTGGACGAGGTGGATCTCATCCGAGGCGGCAGGGGCGGCTCCTCTCGTGCGATCCAAAGGCAGCGGCTAGGGTGGTGGCCTCAGGCCGTGCAGCTGTGGCTGGCGCACCATAGCCGGTGGAGCGGCGACCCTGAATGGACGGCGGCGGTGGCAGCGCCCCATCCGGCGGGGTGGGCTGTTCTGGTCAGGATGGTGACTGCGGATCCAACGCCCCGATTGGATCCGTCGCGGGGAGGTCTTCCGTCGATCGGCGGCGCGTGGAGGGGCCGGTGAGGAGATGTCGGATCTCTGCCGGAGTACCGACGGCGACATACGTCTTCGTGGCGAGGTTCTGCTCGGTTCCAGCCAGCCGCGAGGTCGGGAAGACGTGGCTTCCGGTGAAAATCGCGCCTGACTGCGGTCCTGGCGGACGATGGCGGCGTCTCGGATGTCGTTCCCTTCTGGAGGCATCGTCGTTGCAGGTCACGTCAACCTGATCCGAAAGTTCTGGGGGAAACCCGAGATCTGGGTCTACCGGATCGGATGATGATGCTGTCTTTGGTGTTGTTCTCCCTCCTGGGGGCATCGTTTTGGAGCAAGTGCTGGTTGGAGGGGACAAGAGGAGGAGCGGTGTTTCATCTTGTCCATTGATGACAGCGGATCTCGGCGGCGTGGCGCAGTGGAGACTTGGCTCCCGATGAGCGGAGATGGACTCGCGCAGGAGGGTGACGCTGTCTGGCGTCGGCGGCAACTAGACCGGGCAAGGTAGATGTAGCAGTACAACTCTGAAGATGGATTGTTGGCAGGTGGCTGCGGCGTCCTCATACCCGGCAGGCGTCCTGGTTGAGGAGTACGCCGGACTGGTGGGTGCCCATACCCAGCAGGCGTCTTGGTTGGGACCTCAAGTCTTAGATGTTAGGTTTGGCTGCAAGGTCTATTTGGTATTAGGCCTAGACTTTCAGCGCTCCTTCATCAACTGGATAGGAGTAGCGACAGATGGTGCTTAGACGGTGGCTTTAGTCTTACTGTTGTATGACTTTGTAAGGTCTTATGTCAATAATTAATAAAATGGATGTATGCATCGTCCAGATGCAGAGTCCGAGGGTCTTCCTCCTTTTCTAAAAAAAATCCGTCCGTGCGTGTAGCATAGCTCCGTTTTGAAGCTCAGACTCCATGGATCCTTTTTTTAACAAAAAGATAAAAAATTAATGTTTAAAGTTTCAAAAAAATGTTACAAAACAAATTGTGGATTGTAATAATGAACAGTATATGTGCTAACAAACTACTTGTTTGTTCTTTTTTGCAGCTCAGATGTAAAAAATATCATTACGAAAGTCTATACACATTCAAAGGTACATGTGGATTTTATTTTTGTATTTTCTGAAACTTGAAACATGATTTTTGATAATTTTTTTTTCATAAAATGGCTCCATGGAGCCCATACTCCAGAACAAACATGGTTAGTGTTTAACACCACGATATATTTAGGTAGGCTAAGAATTATGTTGTACCGTATTTTTGCCTTCGATTGCGGCATTATTGTCAAGTTTACCTCATTACTTGCATTTTCTTTTCATCGTGCCTAGCTTCTACTTGGGGGCAAATTCGCCAAGATGATTACAAAGCAAATGTTTCATTGGAGCCGGATTCGGACCCTAAGTGGGATTCCTTAGTATAGTATCAGGGGAAAATACTGATCTACTAGGGTTGGTTCAGTTTTGTTTTATCTACTTAAGTGTAACACGGATTGATCCTATGTTTTTATGCAAGCTTAAGGACCTACTTGTGCAATTGTCAAGATCAAAGATCTAAATCTCATGATAATGAGAATTTTTTTACCCTATGGCTCACTTAGCACATCGGCTCAAAATGTCATGTTTCTCCTATTTCGTTGTGACTTGAGAGTCAGCCGATGAGATTTGCGAAGAGACTTCCAAGGTCAGCATCCCATTGTCGAGGGGGCAATGCCTGGCAACTTTGCATTGGTGCCAAGAGAGATTGGTCAAGATATGTGGAGATGCACAACATGTTCTTACAACAACTCTCTATTGCACAGATGTCATTGAGATGTGGTACACTCTACACCAGGTCAACCTTCCCTTTTCCCCATAGACAACATCTCCAAGATGGTGGAAACTGAGAGCTCACAGTCGAAGATATCCACCATAGGAGGAAAGATCATGTGAAGATATGAAAACTTGAAAACTATCGCTTGGAAGTCATGTATTAAAAAAAATAGGAATTCTAGACAAAAATAATCTAGAACGCTGCAAAAATAAATAAAAACATGAGGTGGCACATTATATTTGATGTTCTTCTATAATTTCTTTAGTCTGTAGGAAGCCAAGATAAATCGAGGGTGACCAATCCTTTGTTCCAAACGTTACAAAAAAAGAAGAAAATTATATGAATCCTATCCTGCAAAATTCTTACATTTTTCCTGTGTTTCAAACAGCGTCTACAATTAAAGAAAGACTGCTATTCCTCGACAACTTAGGAAACTATTATTTCTCATTCAACAAATGTGCAGCTGACAAATTATATATCGATAAACCAAAATTTACACATATAATTTTTAGATATGCAATTGCTCGTCAGACCTTTATATCAAGAATCGATGTTCAAGACCGCCGTTTATAGAAACAACGAATTTCCTCTTACAACATTGATCCAACTATACAATTGTTGGTGCCATATACAAAGAGTACACCAGTTTTTTTTTGACAAAGAGTACAATAGATATGCACATCTTATAGTTTTATTGCCTACACATGCACGCAAGCTATGCTACTGGTGCATCATTTCTCCCCTTCATTTCTCTCTCCTTCCTTCTCTTCAAGAGTCACTAGAGGTTCCCCCGCTTCTCTGTTGGTAATATGAGCAATTTACCAAATGATTTTATTAACAGAAATACTAGATAAAGTATGACTAATATAGAAGAGATAAAACAAGTCATGCGTTCTGACAGAGAGAAGGTAAATAGTTTCTGCATATATGAACCGTAGCCTATCATATCTAAAGCAGACAGTATAGCAAGTAGCATATATGAAGTAGAACCTAACATGTGTAGGACAAGGACTAGAACAAGGAACGGCGGCAGAACCTTTAACAGGAAAGACAAGAACACGTACGGGACAGCAGCAGCAGAAGTGCTGGACTTGGGGTCGGTGTCCTCGCCTGACATGTCGTCGAGGAGGTCGTGGACGTCGGGGAAGAAGTCGTCGTCGGGAAAGTAGTCGTCGGCGACCGGATCATCCGTGATGAAGCAGCCAGTAGTCACGCTGAGCGCTCCCCAAAAACCTTATCACCCTTCTCCCGTACAGGACTCAAAGATGTGCGGTTTCGGAGGCCTACTGTCCCGTCCTGCTGTGCACGCCGCAAGTCGGGATGGGGAAGATCGTAGCAGCAGCGCAGTGCTCAGGAACTTGTGGCGAGAGGAGGAAGAGATTCTGGTGTGTCTCTCTGAGAGGAGCGACCTCCCTTTTATAAGCGCAAGAGAAGGAGGCGAGAGGCTGCGCCGGGAGCTGAAGGGAACGCGGGAGATGAAACGAACAGACAGCAGCCGAAGGGTGCAGCGTTCGTATTCAATATCCACTACAGCAAAATCTTTCCAGTTTCCGAGTGACCTTTCGTATACCCGTAGTGCGTGGCAAAAATTTAGATATCGGCTCG